CCTTCCATTCCAACTCTTAGTCTGGCTTAGTTGTGACATCTTCTTATCGGTGATTCCCCTCTTGGCTAAAATAAAACTGATGGTTTTATTCCCAAACCATCTCTGCAATCCTTTTGAGACTTGTAAAGGAAGTGCTACTCTCAGGCTGTCACTCTGGTTCATACTGTAAGCCTGAATCAACACTAGGTCTCACACCTCTCAACTTCTTCTGCATAGCCATCCTAGGATACAACTAAGGCAGCACCCTAACAGTTAGAAGGCCAGAGCACAAAGCAGGCTTCCATAACTAAACACATGGCTTGCATTTCCAACCAGAATGATTTCCAAAGACCGTGTCACTCCTCTTTGCATCTCTTTAGCTTCTCCATCACATCAAACGCAAACTAATTGCCTCAGCCTTCAAAGCACCCGACACTCCCTCTGCCGCCTCCTTCTTATCTCCTGTGTGATTAGGGGTTATTTCACGCTTTCAGTGGATCCCTGACACCAATTTCCATTGTGCATTTTTTTCAATTAAGCACCTTTGTGCTCTCTCCTAAGTCACCCCACAGGCGGAACTCCAAACATCAGCACACAACGACATCATTACCTTCCTTCCAGGTCTGAGCAAGTGCTCAAGAGAGAAGCCAGCCCTGTCCTACCAGGAGTTCCCTGTAGCTTGCCTCTGGGCCAAACACTTCTAACTCGATTGCTTTTTAACTAGGGCCTTTAAAGATGCTGTTTAAGGAAGTTCCTCTGGTACTTGATTAAGTTTTACTACCAATAACGTACAACTCGCTTGTATTTTCAAGGCTGGCTCAGCCCCACCCTGTCACCAGCACACAGTTGTTAAAACAGCAGATGTATGTCTGTCACAGCTGTTATTTGTCATGCATGCAGACAATAAGACATTCTGACATCTCAGTTGGTAACCTCTTTAGAAGAGACAGTTCCAAATATTTACTGTCTAGCAGACACTTGCTCTCATTACAAGGCAGGTAGCGTAATCAAGTTACTGCTCAGAAATGGGAATTACCCAGAAAACAGTTTGAATGATCACTGCTCTTGAGCAGAGGCCCTTGCATGGGAGCAAGCCAGGAATTCACCACACTAGATTTTAAAGCCATCAAAATTCCCGCAGAACATTATCTTTGCCAAACTTCTATTTTGCTGCAAGAACAGCTTGATGCTCTGCCAGGGTTTTCTTTCTGGATTCTACCTTTAAAACCTTTCCAATGCAGAGGCAGTCAGCTGCTTCAACACAGCCCTCTGCTTTCCCAGCAGGACCACAAAAAGAAACCTGCATTAAAATCAGTACCCTGGACTTCTAAATGAGATAAAAACACGGTGGATCACACATGCTCTGTCTGAGACGTCAGCAGCATGACACAGCTCTCCTAGTACTGACCATGCAGCCTGTAGCTACATTCCTCTCACTGAGCCTGAGGGCACTGCTCCGAGGGGCAACAGATCAACACATCTCCTCACTCCCTCTCTGGATTCTCAGCATAGGAATGGGAAGCCAGACTAGAGGAGCATCCCTCCTATGAACAGGGAACAAGCCCACCCGTTAAATATGATGGCACCATGCATGTTCTTGGCTGCAACCAAGAACAGCATCACCTCGGTCCCGCTTGCTTGCTCTCATCATCTGCTGCCTCCTTTGCCCCAGCAGCCAGCACACTTTGCTAAAATGTTGGGGGAACGGTGGTACCAAAGAAGCCAAGCAACTTTCTGTGCTGCCTGTTTGCTGAAGGAGCTCACTAAGTGCCAGAAGCCACCAGTGGAAGCCTCAGGCCGGGGAGGAGATGGGAATACAGGGCCTGTGCTGACGGGTACCTCAAAGCTAGCTCTTCTTAAGCCCTTCTCAGGCCAATCTTTGGTTCACTGTGCTACTCAGGACAGAGTAACAGATAGGTTTCAGCAGCACTGGTGGGAAGGGTCTTCATTCCTCTCATGCCCCACACACCCAGATATCTGCCACAGGTGTTTGTCCCATCATGGCTCTGGGTCTCAACTGGGCATCATGAGGCAAACAAATCCACTAATACTTCAGGAAACTTGTCCAGTGCAAAAACCTCCCTACTGTTTCCTGAAGGTTTGATGAGTTCGCTTGGTTTATGGAAACCTAAGGTGAGCACCAGTGTGACACAGGGCTGTATTGCATGGGTCAAAGCAGGGAAGATGGGCAGGGCATGAAGCAAACATTAGGTGAAGAGTGGTATTTCTTCTGAAAGGGCCAGGAAATACCTAGATCAGATGAACCTTCTGTGGGACAATGCCATGCTCACTTATTTCAGCAACACTGTAGGCATTGCTGCACAAACCCAATGAATTCAGTCCAGACATGTGAACGGGTTAATACCTCCATCTACCTGTCATTGCTCCCTGCAGAGGGTCTTCCCACAGTATTGTGCACAGCTGTGCACAATAAGGATCTACTAAAAAAACAAAAACAAAACAAAACAAAAAAAAACACCACAATCAACAACAACAAGAAAACAGCCACCAATTCCAAGTCCCACTGCAATGCTAGATTAGAAGCTCTGGAGCTGCTTTAGGTGCAAATCAGCAGCAATTTCTGAAAAGGTAGGGCTAGCACCTGGGATCCTAACTCCTTCAGCCTACGTTTAATCTGCAGTACTTGCAAAACAGCACCCAAAGGCTCTCAAATATCTTTTCTGCCATAGTAGCCCAAATGCTTCACACGCCATCTGACATCTCCAGGGCTGCAGAAGTGAAACACAGGCCCACGTGCTCCCCCTTGCAGTAACCAGGACACCTCGAGACCTGGTATTCAGCCAAAGAGTCACATGGGGATAACAAGGCAACCTAAAGACTGTAAATTTGGGCCTTTCTCAGAGAAAAAGCAAACAGGTTTTCATCTAGTGCAAAATAGGACTACTATGAAATACTGATTAAATATTCTGAGGCGTTTCAAGTGATGAGGAAGCAGAACTGCCATGAAATTTTATACTGCCTATTGTAACAGTTGCCCAGACAATGTATCTGAAATTTACTTGCCAAGGCTCGCTCAAATTGGATTACATAAAGGCCAGTTCTTCAAATTTTTCATTAAAAAGAGCTTGGATGAGTGCTTTAATTTTCAAAAGCATGAGAAGGGAGACCATCCTTTAAAATGACACCAGTGGTTTTTTCTTTTTTGCAAACACATTAGCTCTTTGATAGATTTCTCCAGGGGCACCGCATGATCTGGTGATTTTCACATTCAGAGAGCTGAAAGGAACAGTTATGAAAAACTGTGTCATGAATCTGCAGGAAACAATCTCACTGTGGTAAGAACAGAATAAGGGAGATATGAAAAAGGAAAAAAAAGAAGTAGGACTGAACTTCATTAAAACTTTGATTTAAAGTAAGAGAAGAAAAAAAACAGCTGTTCTAGGAAAACCACCATCACAGAACTTCTTACAGCAATGATACACCAAGAGAATTTCCCCACCTTTAATCAACTTGAACGACAAAACCAAACTGTTGGAAAACACGCTTCCTAAAGAACAGAAGATATAAACCACAGTATTTAGAACCAGTCAAGTCTGCCTTGGAGAACAGCATCAATGGCATCTCCTTTTTCTTGCATTAGTTCCCATGAATGAATAAACACGACTATGAATATTGCAGCCCTTCTCAAAGTCAGGTTATCTTTGCTTTAAAACAATCCCTGCGACCAAAGGCTCGCCCTCCAAATTCACCACTGTCTACATTTCAGCATTTGAATTCTAAAGCAGCTCAACACAACTGCTAAATATTTTGTTAACCAACACCAATCCCTACTGCTTATTTGGTTAAAAAGAAAACAAAATAAATCTCAGTTAATTTAAAGTTCGCTCTCAATGTGGTTTTCAAATCTGTCAAAACACGCACAAGGAGGTCTAGTGGAAGGCAGGAACTATGGGAAATTCAACTTGAAAGTTAAATCTGAACCACAAGGTCAAAGAAACAAAGTCATAACCCGTTCTCAAGCTCCAACACACCCACACGCCCGCTCACAGAAACTTGGAGTGCTCCGAGGATCCAACCTCGGATCAGGCTGCACAGCGGACTCCGGGCATAACGTCGCATTATGTCTCCCCTAACAACTAACGTCTAACCCCAACACGATGCTATGTAAACACGTAGATGCACATAACCTCCCTTTCAGTCCCAGAATCCCCTCAACACGCCTATTCCAGAAGGATAAATGGCTTCATTCATAATCTATTTTTAAACACCAGACGTTTTAAAAGAATTTCTTTCAATTCTTCAACGTCTTTATTTAAAATAACACAGGCTCGAACCCCGATCCCTCCCACCCCCGTTGGTTGCGGGCCGCTGCCGAATCCGTGGGGGCTCGCTTCGACTCCGTGCCACCGGGGAGCGCCGCAGCCACCGCCCGCACGGCGACCCCGCGCCTCCTCCCCGCCCGGCTCTGCTCGGGGGGGCTGCGGCGGGCCCGATGCGGGACTGGGAGGAGAGTGGGGGGGGATGTGAGAGGAGGGGACGCTGGAGTCCAGCAGGGGAAACTTGGCGCTGGGAGGGTCCCTGCTGCAGCCCCCCGACGCGCCTCCCAGCCGCATCCTCGAGAGAGATGGGGAGGAAAAAAAAAAGAAAAAAGAAAAAAAAAAAAAAAAAAGAAAAAGAAAGGAAAAGGAAAGAAAAGAAAAACAAGAAGAAAGGCTGTGGGAGCCCTGGGTACCACAGCAGCGGCTGAAGGACCGCAGTCAGGAGGGCTCCTAGCACAGCACTGCCCCGGCTGGGTGCGGCCCTCTCCCCCCGCAGCCGCACACAAAAGCGTCGCCGCCACCACCGCCGCCGCCCCCACTCGGCCCCGCCGCCCTCGCCCCCCGCCGCCGTGAGTTTCATGACTGTGGCGCTGCCCGTGGCGCAGTCCCGGCCCAACCGCCCCCCGCCCGGCCCCCAGGATCCCGCCGACCCCGGCAGGTGCCCGCCGGCGCGCAGGAAACTTTCCCCGCGCTGCGGAGCCGCCGCCCGCCTCCTCCAGCCCCGCACCGCCCCGGCCTTACCTTGGCGGGCTCCGGGGGGGCGGCGGCGGCCCCGTCCTCCTGTGGCGGGGCGGACGGCTCGGCGGAGCTGCCGGCGCCCATGGCGCTGCCCCGCACAGCCGAGCAGAGTGGAGCGGAGCGGCAGAGACTCGGGGGGCGGCGGCGGTGCGGCCGGGAATGAAGGAGCGCAGCTCTCTGCGAACTCCTTTAGGGAGCGAAAGGAGGGAGGGGAAAAAAAAAAAAAAAAAAAAAAAAAAAAAAAAGCGAGAGAGAGGGAGGAAAATCACCTCCGCCCCTGGTCCCCCCGCCCGTCTCCCGCTTGCTCCATCACATGAGCAGAGCCCCAGACACGCCTTGCAGCATCGAGCCGGGCTGATAAGGAGCAGCGGCGACGGAGGAGGGGGGAGGGGGGCAGCGCCCTGCCCGCCGCCCGGGGCCTCTCTCTTCTCTTCTCTCTCGTGGGCACCGCCGGGGCGGGAGCCCTGCACGGACCCCAGACCCAGCCCGCGGCCGTTCCCCTGCGCTGACTCAGCTCTTTTACCTCCCCCTCCGCCCACCGAAACCGAGCCGGCGCCCGCCAATGCCCTCGGGGCGCTCCGGCCAGGGGCTGCCCCACGGTGGTCTCGGGGCCCCTTCGCTACCAGCGCCCGGGGGTTGACGACCTCAGCCGTGAGGGTCGCCAGGGGCATGTCTGGGCTGCGGCTGGTGCAGAGCAAGCAGGGATCTATGCCTTAAACGGGGTACCACGCTGCAGGCTATTTTTTTTTTTTTTTTTTCTTTTCCATGCGGCACAGGTTCTCATTGATTAATTCCTGCTAGACTGCATGGCGAGCTGAGCAGGCAACGTGGTAGCTTCCTTCCCGACCCAGACACACACATACTGTGCCTCACTTCCATGTGCCACAGGAGTGGGACCAAAAAAGGACCCCCAGGGAAATGACACGTACACTGAGATAAACCAACCACGGTGTTGTGTTGCCAGAGGGAGCCGCTCCCTGTGAATCCCCCCATCTTCCACTGAGTTCATAGTTCAAATCAGATATCGGGGACATTTTCCTTTAGAAAATGTGAAACAACCCTCATCCATTGAATCACTGGATTATTCAGGTGTATATATATATATATATATATACATACATATATATATATTCTCTTAACAATTTGCTCTGTTAATTGCCTGCTCTCTGCACATAGTCAGCTTTTTATGTAAAGCCATCAGGCCACACCAAGTCATTGCATGACACAGCCACTGCAGCAGTACAAGAACCTTGTGGAGCCTCAGCAAGAACCAAACTGCTGCTGGGGATGGTGCAGGCAGAACCACATCCCTCCCTTCAGCCCAGCCTTACTCACCCTCACATATATGTGTATAATACCAGGAACACATTGTCCTAAGGCCACTTATCTCTGTAACAGTTTTCTTAATCTTTCATTTGTTTATTTTTTCCTCATCTTCAGGAAATTAGTACTGGCACATTCGTTTTAAGGAAAGCGGGAAAAGGGAGTGAAAACTGGATGTGTGGTCGCTTGGCTCTGGGAGGTATAAGTGAATCCCAAAGCCATGTCCCAGCCCCTGGGAGCAGCTGCACCCCAAGGGCAAAATCCCCACTGAGTAATTCCCAACATTTCTGGCTTCTGAGTCCAGAGACACTGACCTGTTCTCACTTCTGGTGCTCATGTAGTGCATCGGTGCTTGGAAGTGCTGTAGATACAGATGTATTCCAGACTAGCCCTACAAGATCTTTTTTGTAGTAAATTATCACTAATAATGTGCTTGTGATGGCAGAACCAAGCCCTCAGCAGCTTGCAGGGCCACCCAAAGGCCAGCCTGTCTGCTGGGTTCCCCTCAATTGCAGCCCTGCAACTGAGTGGGCTCCTTGGGCTTGGAACTGAGGGAAAATCGGGGATCCTGCTTAAGAAGGGAAAAGTGCCATAATTCAAGTTTCATGCCATATCATTTTCACTTCTCGTTGGCCACCAAATGCTTTCATTGCAAGCAGCCTCCTTTCTGCCATTTGAAATTGCTCTGTAGCCCTTCTGCTCATGGCTTGCAATTTTTGCTTTTTTTCCTGGAGTAACTCCAGCAGAGGGACCTCAGGACTTACACCCTTGGCCCTACTTTGGCCCAGAAGCTGTTTGTAGCCTTTCACCATGCTCTGTGCCCTGTCTATACAGCAGTAATAGTGACAGGTGACAAGACTGACTCTGGCATGGGCTCTCTCGTGTTTCTCTTCCACCCATGTACTAGAAGGGTTACTGCCCAGACCTTTGCCCTGAGCGGTGTGACTGCCTCTTGCTACACATAGGCCTTTCAGGCATTAAGTCTCTTCGGCTTTCCAGTAAGGAGGAGCCACATGTACTTCAAATGGTCCTCTTCCCAAGGCACCAAGCAGCACTGTTGCAAGAATATTCAAACTACAGACAGAAGTATGCATGGTTACTTTTCAGAAAGTCAAAAATGTAGTAATGAGAGTAGTGCTGGCACATTAACCACATCTCTTGTCCCATCTATGATTTTGCCCCATCTGCAACTTGTGGCCTTGGCTTTGGGTTTCCCTGTCAGTCTGGCTGTGTCTGAGGAGCAGTGGGGTGGCATGGAAGACTACGCCTCTGCATCTGCATCCCTATCTCCGGCCCAGGGCACCTGGTCACAGGTTTGTACAGGAGCTGAGGTGGCTGCCTGGAGTCCTGTTCACACCAACACCCTGCTGCTTTCATCAGTAGGAGCCACACTGGGATATTTTTGGCATAAATGGTAAGTGGAAACATATCATGTAAGTGTTCTTGAAATGGGAAGCTCTCGAGAACGTATCTTAGATCTGGATAGAGAATGTAGTGCTCTGACTTCTCCTCAGCTGTACTTACCATCTATCTTTGGCCTTTGGCGGGGCCCCCCCCCCCCTTTTAGCCAGTTGTGATAGGAAATCCCAGGATGTTGCCAGAAATAAATGCATATACCTAAGGAGTTAATACATATCAGCCTAACAAAACATTAGCAAGAAGGAAGAAAATGACAACAATAGCCATGTAAAAAATAGTTTGCTTGCAAGCAGCCTTAATTAAGCCATAGGAAGAAACAACAAGAAAGGAAAACAATTTGCCTAATTACTTTTTTTTTTTAATTAATATTTATTGGGAGCTAAAATACTCTAAAAAATCACAGTGATATACAAAATGTAAAAAAAAGAGAAAAAACAAAACAAAACAACAAACATCTCAATCTAAACCATTCATATCCCAAAGGTTATATGTATCAGAAGAGATCTATTCATGTGTATTTATGTGTGTGTGCAATTTATAAAATGATCTCAAGTTTGATGATTATTTAGGTAAAAACCATATATTTGAATAACAAGTGTGTCACCCAGTGCATATTTGCACGTTGTAGCTGGTCCCAAATACCACTGCTCAATATCCTGCAGCCATTTTGGAAGCTCTGCCCCCACCCATGGTTTATTTTCTATCCTTACTCACTCCTCACTTACTCTGCTCTTTGTGGGAGTAGTTTGGCAAACACATGAAGCTTCAGTAGTCCAATTATCACCACTACCTGAGGGCAGTTCTTCAGAAGGGCACAGGACAGGGCAAAAGACTGCAGCAGTCTCATGACCCACTGGGAGTTTGACCAAAGAGATGCATGGCATGGTCTGGTCACTGCCCAAACAATGCGGTCTCCATTTCTTATTTTCCCTATAACTTTCCTGTGAGGGGGGAAGGCTAGATCCAGATCTAGTTTCCTAGTAAGCATCTGGCTGTCGTGAAGTATGGCAGAATAAATAATATGGTGTGCAGATGCAAGGACTGCAGGGCGCCAGCGTGGACCACAGCTTGCAGGCAGGGACAGTGGCAGGGGCAAAAGTGGAAAAATGTTTCCTCAGTGGCAGTGTTTTATCTGCCACATAGATAAGTGCATCTGACCCAAGAAGCCTTTCAACCAGTGCTCTGAGGAAATTCCTCATCAACAAAAGAATGCCCATGGGACAGAGATAAGGAGGCAGAAGAGCTCTTGGCAATGCCATTGCCCCATTGTCACAGCAGCAGGTGAGTGATGCTGCTTTGTACTCAGGAGGAAACCCCTGGGATTGGGATTGGGACTGAGAGAAGCACTGCAGAGGAGTTCCTTGGCACTGCTGGCATTGTCAAGGCAGCTGAATGGAAGGGTTCTGCGGCATCAGGTGCTGGGACACCTCTCTGAAAATTAAATTTTAATTTTGAACGGACTCAGAATAATTTAAGTTGTAATAGACCTCTGGAGGTCATGTTCTTGCTTAAAACAGGACTAGCTTCTGTTTAGATGAGGCTGTTCAAGACTTTGCTCAGGCAAGTTCCTGTTGCTTTTCACCTCTTTCTGGGGCTTGTAGTGATACGCTTCCAGCCTGTGCTGCTGAGGGAGTCCTCAATGTCCACAACTACGACCTAGATGTAAGGTGTCTGTTCTTTGCTGTTCTTTGTCTCCCTGCAGTCTCTGCCAAGCCTGTGTGTACCTATCTTCCTTCCTGAGGTGTGTTGCCACCACCACTGCCCCAACAGGCACCTGGCCTTTCCCATCTCCAGACTGCCAAATCCTCTCTCAGAAGTCCTCTCCCACAAATGGGAAGAAGATCATGAAGTTTTTCTGCGTCCCTCACACAGAGATTACCTGCTCCTCTGGCCATTTTTCATCATATTTCATGGCTCCTGGCTGAGCTGAGAGACATTTGCTGTGTGAAAAATGGTGTAAGGTGTGTGACCCCTTCTTTGTAATGCACTCCCAGGGAAACTTTGGTAACTGCAGGTGGGAAACAGCAAAATGCTTTCTGGATCACAAACTCCAGCAAATAGAGCAGGAAAACAAATTTTAAAAGAAACATGCAGACCACCAAGATCTCAGTGCCATCACATTCTTCCTCTGGCCTAAACAAGGACCATCATATTCTGCCACTGCCCACCCAGAATGCTGCAGAAGGGATGATTTTCCTAGCTCATTACCTTGACCTTCTTCTTTGCAGCATTCCTCTGGCTCTCCACAGAGCAGTTTTTAGTCTTTGGCTTGAACAGCCTTCCTCATCTAACGCTACCATATTTATAATCTCTCCTTCAGTGCTGATGATGGTCATCACCAT